ATGTATCTATTTTATTTCTTTCTTTTGCCTGCTCTGGCTAATATTTTGAATGCTATGCTGGACAGGAGTGGTGATAGTGGGGCTGGGGATTTAGCTCAGCGGCATAAGCACCTGCCTTGCAAGCAGGCGGTCGTGAGTTCGATCCCCAGTACCGATAAAAATGAAAAAGACAAAAAAAAAAAAAAAAAAAAAAAAAAAAGAGTGGTGATAGTGACATTCTTATCTTGTTCCTGATTTTAGAAAAAAACTTCCAGTTTTTCCCCATTTAATATGATGGCTATTGGTTTGTCATAAATGGCTTTTGTCAGATTGAGATAAAAGATTTCTACACTTATTTACCTCAGGGTTTGTACTCCAAATAAATGTTGTGTTTTGTCAAAGGCTTTTTCTGTATCTCTTCAGATGACCATATGATTTTTGTCTTTGCTTCTGATTAAATTATGTGTTACATTTATTGATTTGGATGTGTTAAGCCATCCATCCATCCCTAGGATGAAGCCTGCTTGATCAAGATGTTTGATTTTCTTGATGGTTTGTTGCATTCTATTTGCCAGTGTCTTGTTGAGTTTTAAATCTATGTTTATTTTTTTTTTCTGGTACCAGGGATCAAACTCATAACCTTGTGCTTGCCAGGCAGATACTCACACCGCTGAGCTAAATCCCCAGCCCCAGTCATTAAAGAGACTGGCTTGGAGTTTTCCTTATGGGTTGGATCCTTGTCTGGTTTTGCAATCAGGGTAATGCTAGCTTCTGGGAATGACTTTGGGAGTACTCCTTCCCTTTCTACTTTATTAAAGACTTCGAGGAGTGTTGGCATTAGATCTTCTCTAAAGCTTTATAGAACTCAGGAGTGAAACTTTTTGGACCTAGGCTTTTCTTAGTTATTTCAATTTCCTTGCCCATTATTGAATTATTCAGGGTATTTATATCTTCCTGGGTCAGTTTTAGTAATTCATATGTATTTAGGAATCTCTTCATTTCTTCTGGATTCTCCTATTTATTGGAGTACAGGCTTTCTAAATAGTTACTAATCTTTTAGATCTCATGGGTGTTTATTTTACTTTTTTCATTTCTAATTGCACTGATGATATCTTTTCTCTCCTTTTTTGAAAGACTTCCTAAGCATTTGTCAGTTTGATTCATTTATTTTTTGAAGAACCAGCTCTTTGATTCATTGATTCTTTGAATTTTTAAGGTCTCAATTTCATTAATTTCCACTCTGATCTTTATAATTTCATTCCTTCTACTAGCATTGGCTTTGGATTGCTCTTGTTTTTTAGGACCTTGAGGTCTGTCATTAGGTTATTTATTTGAATTCATTATGTTTTTTGTGATTGACCATTCACACCTGTGTCTCGTATGTTCTGGTACATGGCACTGGCTTTATCATTTGATTTTAAGAATCATTTAATTTCTTCCTTGATTTCTTCTGTGACTCAGTGATTATTCTAGAGTATTGCTTAATTTCCACATTTGCATAATTTTGGTGGGTTTTTTTGCCACTGATTTTTAGTTTTGTTGCACTATGATCTGATAATACATATGGAATAATTTTGATTCTTTTGCAGTTGCTTAAGCATGCTTTAAGGCTAGAATGTGGTCTATTTTGGAGAAAATTCCATGTGTTGCTCAGAAGAATGTGCATTCTGTTGTTAGGTGGAACTCTCTGTAGATATCTGTTAACCTCTGACCAGTCCAATTATTTAAATACAAGATGACCAAAAACTACATATTTTTCATTAATCTTTACAAGACAATGGGAAATATTAAAATGAAAACTTTATTAAGTATATTCAATACAACAATTGACTAATTAAAATAACACTGGCCTAAGTGACACTTGGTATAGTACATAAACATACTGCCCAAGTGGTATTTTTTGTTGTTGTAGATTTTTTGTCTAGTTGACTGGTCTATATGTGAGTGTGGGATATTGAGATTCCCCCACTATAATTGTGTTGATCTTTATCAGGTTTTTATGTCCAGTAGTATTTGCTTTATGAAGATGGGTGCACATATACGTTTATAATGGTTATCTCTTCCACTTGAATTGTTTCCTTATGTAATGACCAATATGTAGTGACCTTCTTTTGCCTCTTTCAATCAGTTTTGATTTGAAGTTCATTTTTGTCTAAAAACAGGATAATCACTGCTGCTTGTCTGGGTCCTTACTGCATGGAATATTATTTTCTATACTTCGATTTTTAGTTAATGAATAACTTCTTGCTTTAAATTTGTTTCTTGTCTATGGCATACCACTGGATTTTGTTTTCTGATCCATTCTATTAATCTAAGTTTTTGTTTTTAAATTTTACCTTTATTATTATTTTTTTTTTACTTTAATATACGCTATTATTTATTTTTTGAGACAAGATCTCACTATTCAGTTCTGGTTGGCCTTTAACTCACTATATAACTTAGGCTTGCCTTGAATTCACTGTAATCCTCCTGACTCAGCCTCCTGAGTGCTGGGATTACAGGTGTGCACCACCATGCCAAGTGAATGTGTGTATTTTGATTTGGGATTCAAGACCCATTCACACTGAGAACTGTTACTGAAAGGTACTGAATTATTCCCGTCATTGCTTTATTTTACTGTTGATGACCCCACACACACACACACCCTTAACTGCTCACCCTGCCTGCTCTATTTATTCTGTTAGATTTTTTGGCATTGCTTGCTTCATTGCCTCTTTTTAGGATATCCTTGAAAGTTTTTCGGAGTGTTAGCTTGGTGCTTAGAAATTTTCAGCTCTCAAGAGGAGCTCAGTGAATGTTTGCTGAATGGATGTACATGGACGTTTTCAGGGCAGGTAAAGAGGTTTAGATGGGTTTCCAAGCCTAACTGGCCACTTACCAGCTACGTGACCTAGGCCATTTTACTTAACCTCTGTAAGTCCTTCTTCATCCATCAGCCAGGGGCTATAATAGTCTCCAATTCTTAGAGTCACCGTGAGAATGATATAAAAAGTATATGGCAAAATGAAAAGTGCCTGCCACGTGAGTGGTAATTAGATAAAATTATTTGTTCTCTCTGCCTAGATTAGGGTCACTTCTGATCGCCCTATCTATAACCCAGTTATTAACAAAACCCTTAGAGGGCATAGGGGTATTTGGGATAGTTCTTCCACTAGTGATGTCACCATTTGTCTACAGTCTGATCAATCATATGCTTCCCCACCTCATATTCAAAGGTACCAAGTACTGTTCTGCCAGCCCAGGGATGAAAAGAAAATGAAAACCACTTTGTTCCATTCTTGGTCTGCTTGCCAGGCAGATACTCACACTTGGTGGTTCCTTCTTTCCCTTTGAGGACCACAGACTACCTGTCATGCCCAACACTGTTGTTAAGCTTCTGTTTGGGGCCTTGGCTGAGCTTGGACCCATTGTGAAGCCATGGGACACCTGTGTGTCCTCGCCCAATCAGGGCTGTGGCCTAAACCATGCAGAGTAGGCAGGAGAGGTTCAGGCTGTAACTAATTGCTTTGGTGGGAGAGGCTGAGTGTCACCAAACAGGGAAAAGAAAGAGCACGATCTTAGTACAGTCAGCAAAACACGTGCCAGAAAATGACTGAGATCCTCAGTACTGGGAATCTGTTTGTTAAAGTCAGTTTATCTGTCCATATCCTTGGGCAGAAGGCAAGGGCTCCTTGAAGGGAACACATTTCTCTGCTGTCCTCCTGGCAACTCCTATAGTGACAGGGAGACTTATTTCTGCAACCAGTTGAGAAGAAACATTTCTTCCCCGGAGTGCCTGGACTAGGTTTATAAAGTGAGGCCCAGTAGAACTTCGTGGCAACCTACCTGGGTCACCCTACAAGATGACAGGAGAACAGAACAAGTAGAGAGAATGGAGGAATGCAAGTGTTCACTCTTCTCCCACGCACTTGGCCCAGATAAGTCCCATTTGTCGCTGCACACAGAAGGCGCCGAGTACATAGAGCACCGGATAAATGGACAAACTGAGAGGGCAGGGGCAGGCAACCTCCTCTCCCTTCGGCCCCTGGCAATCTGGCCTCTCTTGTTGGATACAACTGACTCGGATGTAGGGAAGGCTAGCGTTCCATTTCCTGTGCCTGGGGAAGGGAAGCTGGTGTTTCCCAAAGATCCATGCTGTCATTGTTCTGGCTACATTATGAATAACAGCCATTCCTCACCAAGGATGAAGTCACTTCCCCCAAAATCAGCATAAAACTCACAGGAAAGGAAACAAGCAGTGACTGTACATCTACTATGTAGGGGGAAAATTGAGTATTTTATTTGATTCTTATAACCTCTGCAAATATAATTCCTCTGCTTTCATAATGCAGCTGAGCCTCCTAACATAACTGAGATGGGCTTTAAACAACTGGCCACATTTAGAAAGAAAAGACAAGGAAAACAAGTGCACAGGCTAAACTTGGTAACATGTGCATGTTGTCCTAAAAAGCACTGTTTCCAGAGGAGGGTGTCATGGAGACTCCCTCCTGGGAGTACCTGTGACTGCCTTCTTTCTCACTTCTCAAAAACTGAGGAATAGATGAGGAGAACCTCAAAAAGGAGAAGAGAGTGGAGAGAATGAATTGAGGAATGAGACCCAGTCTACCTCCATTTGCTCCTCAGACTCTTATTGAGCATCCCCAAAGGGTGTTCAAAACACATGGGGACTATTTAGTTTAAAAGATTTATTACAGTAAGACATATAGCCATTAACCTCCCTCAGGTCAGCCCCTCTCCCTTTGCACACACTTACCTCATGGTTCTTGCTGCTACTTCCTGCAGAATTTCTGGAAGTCCTTTTTTGTGTCTTTATGAGATGTGATAGAAAATATGAACGCTGCTGCTGATTGCCATCCCGCAGAAAGGCAGGTTCAACAAAACATGGTGTATCCACGTCACCTTATCAGGCCTGGCAGCACGCACCTTCTGGATCTTCCCTACAGTCAAAATCACCATGAAAGGTAAATGTTTTGAACTGATCAAGACCTCAAGGCAGCCATGACAATGCAACTAAAGACATAAAAGAGGACTTTCAGAACTTAGCTTCAGAAGGCAGCAAGAAGATAGGATAAGTGTGTGCAAAGCAAGGAATAGCATCTTGAGGGGGGTTCATGGCACCCTGTCTTTTACTGTAAGACTTTAAAAAAATTTTTTAAGCATACACCATGTGTCAGGCACAGAGTGGGAACAAAATATTATTTTTTTACATTTTTATTTAAGGAGAAAAAGAAAAAAAAAGCAGAAAAAAGGTACAAGTTATACAGAATTTCAGAAAAAAAAAATAAACAGTAGGAAATCACTAGTTAATGGATTACATATTGTCATCTTAGAAATATTTGTTCAAGTTACAAAATTAAAGCTTATATAGTGGACATTCAAACAGTGAGACCAAACAGTTCTGTTCAATGATCCAACAAAACTCAGTAATATCATTGTCTATCTTATACATTTAAATAAACATGCAGTTATATTGTTTAGAGTACTCTCTTTTCCTCTCTTTTGTACAATGACTATTACACATTTTGGGTTTTATTGCTCCCACAGTTCTTATTACTTTTTTTGGAAGAAAGTAAAACCAAATGTGACATAACAGAACAGAGTCGGTCAAATCAAAAGAGTGGACATAATAAATAATGTAAAAACATAATACAAGGTGATCAACAATGGTTACCATAATGCCTCTTGCTATCTCTAATAGAGATGCCTATATCATCAGTTATAATAAAATTGAACAAAACAGTAAAGAATGAAACCAACAAAACCAAAACATTGGAGACATTACAGATCTTCAAAAGTAGATAATAGTCAACCAGAATGGGCGTCATAATGAATCCCACTATCTTCACAGCTGTTGCCTAAACTTTTGAACCTGTTACTATCAAGCAAAACAGAATAGAGGAACATCAGTCAAAACAAGATGGTGAGAGCAATACAGGGCTTCAAATCAAGTTAACAGTAAATCAAAGTGAGTTACTATAATATATCCTGCTATTTTTTTTATTTTTCCCTTAATTTAAAGGATAAAAATTTAAAAAATGATAAAATGGAGATTGAGATAAAAGAGGGCATAACAGCAAAACAGCGCAGATCAAAACATAACCATTTAAGCAAAATAGTGTTTCGGGAACAAAATATTATAAAATACAGGTCCTCACCACACATAGTATCACACACTTGTAATCCCAGCCCTCTGGAAAGCTGAGGCAGCAGGATCATTGTGAGTTCAAGGCCTGTCTGGGCTACATACCAAGACCCTGTCACAAACAAATTACAGATCTTCCCCTCCTGGGGTCACTGTGAATGAACTTGTGAGTAAGTGAACACAGTTCAGCAAGTTCAGTGTTGTGAGGGGTTATCAGATCATTTATCCTATGTTTGAGGTTCTCTGTAATAAAACATTAAAATTTTTATACTGTAGCTCCACCCTGGGGCTATGTGTACGAAAGGTGCCCAGCCCAGACTGAGAAGTCAGTTGAGGAAAGCTTCACGGAAGAGGTGACATCTGAGCCAAATTCTGACAGGAGTCTTGACAGGGAAAGTAGCACGGAACAATCTTGCTGCAAATGGCACCAGAAGAGACACAGACATAGGACAGTGTGGCCTCTGAGAGAAGCATAAATGCAAGTCAGTTCCTGTGGCTGGATGAAGACGCGGCCTTCCAGCTCCCACCCCACCCCAGGGTGAAGCTTTCTCTGAGTGCATTCAGCGTCTCTGAGACTCGGGGTTTAGTGTTTTAGGTTTCTTGTGTTTCTTTTGAGGATTTGTATGACAGCTCCAAAGTGTGAACAGAGAAAGGGCCCCACCTGGAGGTGGGAAGGAATAGTGTGCATTGAGTTCTCGGCTCAGAATTTGCCCTCATAAAGAAAATCCTGCCTCCCGTCCAATCTATCACAGGACTGAGCCTCTGATTTCCAGGGACAAATGAAAAGATAAGAGGCAGTGTTTGGAAATAGAGCAGAGGAACCAAAATCCCACTTAAAGACACACTCTACCACACAGGAAACCAGCAAAAAGTAAGCTTCCAAAGGAACTAACAGTGAAAATGATCTTCCATCATTGTGCCAGACCCACAGCTACACCGTGCTATGTGCCGAATATGTTCACTCTCATTGAGTACTCATGAGGAAGATTTAGGAGAACCGTTTTATAGCTACCAAGTGCAGTTCTGAGAAGCTGAACAACTCTCTAGATCACATGACCAGCACCTGGACAAGCTGGGATTTGAACTCTGTTTGCAGACACTGACACTCGGACTTCTAATTGGTTTCAATAGGCTGAAAGTGGAGTTTATCATCTTGGCCTCCCCACCTCCATTTCCCAGCTCCTCTGCCCCATCCCCAGGCAGAACTCTGCGAATTTTGAGTGCAGTTGGTAATCCCTCACCAACTTAATCCCTTTCTCTCATAAATATCTTTGTATTTTTTTCCCCTGTGCTCTCTGTCCCCGCTGCCATTGCCTTAATCTAGGCCAGACTCTTCTCTTACCTGACTAGACAGCCTCTCGGCAGTCTCTGGCCCTCCCAGAACTCAGGAGATCGCTTTATAATTGACTCCTCCATGATAGCCTCCATGCTAATCCCAGTGGCTGGCATTTCACTGACTGGTGTCCTGCTGAGGAGATTAGCACACCAAAAACACAGATGGAGCAACAACCTTGTGGGACACAGTGAGAAGTGACATCTGCAAGCCCAGGAGAGAGAAATCAAACATGCTGACATCATCTTGGATTTCCAGCCTCAAGGAACTGTAAGAAAATACACTTCTGTCAAGCCACCCAGTCTGTGGCATCCTGTGCCAGCAGTCCTAGCAAAGGAACAGAATCAAGCAAGAAAGTTAGACTCAGAGATGTCAAGGGACTGAACTCCAAATAGATAATTAGTAAGGCATTAATCCATTCTGCCTTGGTTGGAGTGACTCTTTCATGACGTATTATTTCATGTGTTAAACATCTGGGACTTGTGACTCTAACAGGCATGTCTCTGCGTTAAGCTTAGAGCCCTTAACTACTTTCTTTTTTGTGATACTAGAGACTGAACACAGGGCCTCATGCACTTGTAGCCCTTGTAGACAAGCATTCTACCACTGAGCCACATCCCCAGGCTTTAAACTTTTTTAATTTAGAGAAAGCATTCAACTAAGTTTCCCAGGCTGGTATCTAATTTGTAATATTCCTGTTCAGCCTATAGAGTAGCTGGATTACATGTGTGTGCTGCTGCAAGGCTTTGCCCTTTTTAACAGTAAAATTTCAATTTGTTTGTTTTTTGAGACAGGGTCTTGCTGTACAGCTCAGGCTGGGCTTGAACTCACTATGTAGCCCAGGTTGGCCTCGAACTTGCAGCAGTCCTCCTGCTTCAGCAGGAGGACTTCATCCCTCCCTGGGATTATAGGTGTGTGCCACCATGCCCGGCTTCAATGCATTTTTTCTTAGCACATCTGGATGGGTGAAGAAGAGTCTGATGGCAAATGCCTGATCCTTAAGAGAAATGTGCAGAGCACCACGATCTCCAGAAATGGAATATGACTCATCTGTGAATCTCCAAATATAAACCTCGAGGTCTGAGGTATGTGGAGCAGGGGTGCATGGTAGAAATCAGGATTTTTCACTGGGATAAAAAGGGAATACTCAGGATTGGGGGTGTCAGGAAAGAGTCCTGCAGAGCAGCCCTTCTGGAAAGGAGACAGATCTACGGCACTGGGCAGGGGTAAGATGGAGGGAGCCGAAGGAGGCAGGGAGATTGGAAACAAGCCTGACTCCAGGCTCCACGCCCTCCTGAGCAGACCTGCAATGCCTCCTCCCAATGCAGTCGTGTGCAGGAAGGAGAACTCTCCCGCAGCAGGGGACAGGAAGGTGGAGCAGCCCTTCCGGAAGTGGGAGACACACCTCACCTGATTCATGGTAAGGTTCTTTCTAGGTCCCTTGCTGACTCCATGGTTCAGTGTAGGCTTGGCATCTCCTGCCTCGTGGGACCTTCTCAGACTCACAAGTCAGCTGAACATACTTAATTCAGGAGACTCATCAAAGCAGCTTTATAGCTAAAATATTTTGATAAGAATAGTTTCATGGTCCATATGGCAGGCAAAGCAGCTTTACTTAGTTCCCATCTCTTCTCAGGCATGGATTCAGTGGGAAGGCCACTATATTTGGAGCCCTAGTCATGAGCAGAAACAAAGACCTGGCCTCATACAGCTGTTAATTCCCTGCCACTGACACACCATGACGTGAGCTTTTTTTTTTTTTTGAGATGGGGTCTCGCTATGCAGTTCAGGCTGGCCTTGAGCTCACTTTGTAGCCCAGGCTGGTCTCGAACTCACAACAATCCTCCTGCCTCAGCCTCCTGAGTGCTGGGATTACAGGTGTGAGCCACCACACCCGGTTCCAAGATGTGATCTTTGGGTGATTATTTTTTTCAGGAGAGGTTTCCTCTTCTTTTTTCTGCCTGTATTTTCTGATTTCCTACTTTGGTGAACATACATTATTTAATTAAAGCATGGAATAAAATATTTTCTATTAGTATTTCCCTTTTCTCTTTTTTTTAAATTTAAAGAGAATAAAAACAAACCAAACAAAACAGAATGCAGCTAATCAGAACAGAACAATCAAAGCAACATAGGACTTCAAAACAAGGTAATAGGAAATCAAAGTGGCTACTATAATGTCTCTTGTTTTCTACAAAATAACTGTCCATATCATCAGACATAATAAAATCAAACAAAACAAAACAGAATAAAACCAAGCAAAAGGATGAAAGTGTATTTTAAAGAGAATAAAATGAAACAAAATAAAACAGAAAAAAGCCAATTTAAAAAACCAGTGAAAGTGATACAGGATTTCAAAACAGGATAATAGGAAATCGATAATGGATACCATAATGCCTCTCACTGTCTTCAGAATTGCTGCTCATACCATCAGATGCAGTAAAATCAAACAAACAAACCAATCAAAATAAAACAAAACAATAAAATGGAACAAAACAGAACAACATTGAATTTCAAAACAAAGACAGAAGAAAATCCCCCATAGTTGCTATGTTGCCTATTATTATCCTTTAAATAGATGCTCAGACTACTAGCCTTAGACTGCAAAGTCAAACAATACAAGCATTAAGTTGTTTTGTATCTTAGTTGCTATCAACTCAGCCTGGATTTAGCTCAGCGGCATAAGCGCCTGCCTTGTAAGCAGGAGTGGTGAGTTCGATCCCTGGTACTGAAAAAGACAAAAAACAAAAAAACTCAGCCTGTCTTCTGAATTATCTGGTTGCTTATGGGGAGTGTGGGAGGGTTACTTGTCTCCCAGCCTGCATGTCACTTGGCTCAGGGGAAGGGTGAATTGGCTTGTTACTCCCCCCAGGCTTATCATGGCTCCTGTTGACTCACAGGAAGGGCAAATTGGCTTATTTCTCCCTCACATGACTTGCGCTGGCTCAAAGGAAGGGCAAATTGGTTTCTTCCTTTTTCCTCTTGGTTTCCTCTTGGTTCTTCTTAAAGTTTTAGTCTCAAGAATTGGGAGAGGCTAGGTACAGTAGCACATAGTTGTGGTCCCAGCACTTGGCAGGAGATGGGAGGATCACTGCAAGTTCAAGACCAGCCTGAACTGCATGGAATTCCTGAACAGCAAGACCTGTCTGGAAAAAAAAAAAGTTTGGGAGAGGTGACAATTTGGACTACATATTGGTCTGGGTCTAATCAGGAGACAGAACCCACCTAGTAATTACAGGAAGGTTTATTTACAGATGTGTTAAACTGTGAAAAGAGAATAAATATACAGACATACAGAGTTTAAGGTTTCCCGTGGCCAAAGGAGGGTGTCACTGGAAGGACAATTTGGAAAGGGAGCTCCTTCCTCAAGACCAGAGTCCTGATCTCCTTGGAGAAGGTAAGATTGCAGCCCACTGGGGTAGCAGGAAGTTTGCCAAGCAGAGATGTCCACCAGCTGGTGGGCAGGTAGGAAGCCATCTTCAATGATGCAGGGGAATGGAAACCTGTAACAGGGATTCAGAACATTACAGGGACGAGGGCTTGAGTATAGAGTGCCCACGTCAGAAAGGCACAAAAAGGTGATCATCATTGGTATGCTCTATGCTTATCACCCTAGTAACCATATACCTGGAGCACCGACCACATTGTTATAAGTTTGTTATAAATTAACTGACCACATCGTCATGTTGTTTCTGTATGCGTCATTCTCCCCCACCTTAGTAACCTGTGTGCTGTGTCAACCTTTGTTCCCCTTGTAAGAGACAAATGATGCTGTGTCAACCATTGTTCCCTTTATGAGCGACAAATGTTCCTGGAATTGGCAGACCAAGGGCTATGAAGTGGCTAACCACCCACTGTGAAATGCCTCCGACCTCAAGCAAAGGGGAACAAAGGCCCACCTTGTTTCTGTTTCTCATCACTACGTACTTCATGATCAATGAGCTAATCATAAATGAACTATAAAATCAGTCAAAATTCTTACTCAGTTGCACAGCTTTGCAAATTCCATCTGCACTGTGTGGCTGGGCCAGCTAAAAGACAAGCGCTTCTTTTAAAAAAGACGTCGTCTTGCCCCGTTTATCATCTCAGGGATCATGCCCCATTTTTCATCATGGGGCCTTGTTTTTTTGGGGGGGGGTTACAACAATCATCAGTAGGCCAGAACTGAGATGTCACCAAGGAACTTCTTGGGGCACTCATCTTGAGCCAAGTACCACAGGATGTCCCACACATCTGCACCACTAACCATTGCAGAATCAAGGAAAGGTCAAGGTACTACATTAGCAACTGGGAAAAGAAGCCTTTTTCCCTCAGAACACACCTCAACCTCCCTTTCCTAGTGCATTTCTGGTGGGTTCAGTGTCAAGCAGAGAATGCTCTGAGTAGCTTTTCCCAGAGAAGACTCCCCAGGGTGAACTCGGACTGTGAAGCAGTAAGCCAGCTGCTGGCACGAGCTATTACAGAGGATCAGTATATGTGTTGCCGAAGTGAACACTGCCATGGGTCATCAGAACAGACATTAGGAAATTTTTCCTGCAAAGAGCCTGACAGTGAGCAGTTTAAGCTTTTTGAGTCATACAGTTTCCATCAAAACTCCTCAAGTTGGCCACTGTTGTGCAAAAGCAACATAAACAATATGTAAACTACCTAGCATGTCTGTGTTGTGGAAAACTTGATTTATAAAAAGTTAATGGATTTGCTCATACACAATAGCTTACCAGCTCCTGATGCATATATTTTTTTAGACAGGGTCTTACTGTACTGCCCAGGCTGGCCTTAAAGGATTCTCCTAGCAATCCTTCTGCATTGCTGAGACAAAAGGTGCATATCACTGTGTCCTGTCAATATGTAAAATTTTAGAGTGAAAAAATCTTTATTCTGCAAATAGGAGTATATCCAGAAGATGAGGAGTGAGGGCAAGTGCAGAGCTGAGGCAGATGGTTGGGCTGAGCAAAAAAACTTAAATGAAGGTATTAACAGCTACCTTAGATGCTTTTTTGGGGTCTAAATTGATGAGCTGTTGTATTATAGGATCTAAGAATGTACCTAATGATTACCATTACCTCTAAGGATCTGTACAAGGCAGAATAATAGTCTATATTTCTATATTGTGCCTTGCATGTACAAAGACCAGAGGCTGAGGCTCAGAGGGGTTAAGAAACTTGTCTCAAGTCCTAAGGCCTTGTGGACTCAATAATAATCCATCTGACTCTTAAGTCCCTAGTGCTTATCATCATATCCCTATCCTTCTCCAGGTAGATGGTGGCTCTCAAGCTAGGCTGCTTCCTTTAGGCACATCATAATGAAACAGATTTAACTCCCTGCATCTTTGGCTGGCTAGGACTTAAAACCAAAAGGAAATCAGCACTTTTATCTGCATGCAATTCACATCCTGAAAGTCCCGTGAGGTTAGAGAGGAGAGAGACACCTCCATTGCTCAGTGGCTCCCCAGTGCATCAGTTTTGAAATTGCTGGATGGACGGGTGTTCTAACTCAGGTCCCCTTTCCATGCCCTCTCCTTTTGAGCCTTTCCCAGACGAAGAATCATTGCTTAAGGATAGAATTCTTGTTGGGCTTTCCAATGTTACAAATGTTTGGGTTCCATATTGGTGCTGACCTCTTTAAGATAGGTTTATCAAGAAATTAATGGTAGGTATTTTATCACTGCCCATTGACAATGTATTGCCTCAGTTGCCTATTTTGCATGTAAGTGTTTCCAGTTCTGACAACAAACCCAGTATTATTGTCCCTATTTAATGAATGTGACTACTCAGCCATAAAGGAGGATTAAATTTGAGTAACTCTTAAAACCATAATGCTAAGTGAAATAAATCAAAGACAGAAAGTTAAATATCATACAGTGTCTCTTATATGAAAATCTAAAGCATAAGTAATTTATAGAGCAAAATAAAAGATAGAGATAGGAAACAGGGAGGGAGACCTTTTTGCAGATGAAGAGGGGAATCTAGGAATGGAAGGAGCATGGAGGGAAGGAAGTAAAATGGATTAGGATATGATTGCTTGATAATATACATAAATACATATGTATATACTTGACATACATATGTAACTATATATATTTCCCATGAGTATATTCAGTATGCTATAAACATGTACTAATAAAAAAGATTTTTTTTTTGGTACTGGGGATCGAACTCACAAACTCACACTTACCAGGCAAGCACTTGAGCCACTGAGCTAAATCCATGGCCCATAAAAACTTTTTTAAAAAATACAATTTTAAAACATGAAGGCTGAAAGACAAAAGTAATATATCGGCTCTTTCACAGACATGACTGATCTTTGAGGGAGGCAATGTAAAGGAGTCTATGAAAAGAGGGATCTCTAGACCTTTGGCTAAGATCAATTGTACCGTCGACATTAAGAGAGGGAAAATCAGGATTGCCAGTTGATTTACCCACTCCACTCATCTCCTCTGAATCCACCTCTCTCCAGATGCTCAGCTTACTGTGGAAATGCAATGCATGGGATTCATTTCAGGATCAAATTCCAGCCCCACCCCTTACTAGCCATGTGATCAACTGTTCATTTCTCTATGGATTTTGAGTGATTTTGCATGTCAGTCGACATTTTCCTTGTTTGTTTGAGACAGGGTCTTACTATGTAGCTTAGGCTGGCCTTTAACTCACTGTGTAGACCAGTCTGGGCTCAACTGGCAGTGATCTTTCGGTTCAGTCTCTTGAATACTGGGATTACCGAGCTGTACCACCCCTCCTGTGTCTACATGGCTTATAAAGGCATTTATTTTGGATGACGGCAAAGATGTCTGAACAGCAAACATCTTTGGATGACATAGATTGTGTCTCCTTCCAAGTCAGAAGGAAGATTTGCTTGCTATCCAGGATAATTAAGATAATGCCTCCCTCTGGAGCAAAGGTTGAACAGGTTTGCTAGTAGCACCATTCAAAAATTAGGGTTTACTAAGCTTGGGGTCACTTAGCTATAACACAAACCCACTGGATGTACCACATCAACCTAGGTCCACCTCTCCACAGCCCGTAAGACTTGTGGATCAAGGAAAGCCAACAAAAACATGAGCCTCTGTGCTAGGAATAATGAAGTCCTTTGCCTCTACCCAGGAGTCTTATGTCTTCTGCCATCATGCGTGAGATAGTGACAGGCTAATTTGTTTGTAGTAAAGTAGGTAAAATTCCAAAACCTTCATAGTTTTTAACATTACCTCCCAAATGTCAAAAGGATCAGTAACTCATTTTGCTCATTTCCCATTGCACCTCAGCTGCCTGCACTTTGACATCTGCTCCCAGGATAAAATAAAGCTGACTTTGCCAGTGTTACCAAAGGCTGATAACTGCTAGTTTTATGGGTATTTGGCTGGGACACGTGAGCCTTTAGCAGCAAGGGCTCATCCTCCTTATGTGCTCTGCAGCTTACACAGGACTATGCTTTCCTGCCTCTTTTGATTCATCTTCTCTATGGACTCCTTTCTCTCTTAACCACCTTATCAATGCCTGGCCAGCCTCCTTTGCTGTTCTACCTTTTCTTCTTGGATGATTTCTCATCCTGTTGGCTTTACGAACTTTGTATTGTATATATTTATAACACCCTAAGTTATAGTCCCAGTCCAGCCCCCTCACCGTTCCTAGACCCCTCTCTGTGTACATGCAGCCACCTCACTGTCCCTCATACCAATAGCCAAGCTATCCTTGAGGGCTGCTTCTTCCACCTGCCCCTCCCACTGCGCCCATTTCCTCCTCCTCCTCTTGCTCCCTCTCTGGCCCCAACCTTCCCTGTCCCCATAACTGCAGTATCTATAGTTTCTCTTGACCCCTGCCCACCCTATTGTTGCTAGACTTATGTTCATAAAATATAAACCAAATCACACTATTTCTTTGCTTAAAATCCTCCATTTTCTCCTCACAGCCTACCTGACAATGTCAAAGTTTACTATGCTTTCTAAATATTATAGCCCATCCCACTCCTATGGCCACTAACACTCAAAACGGAAAAGAGTTGGGGAGGCGGTACCTCAAAATATCACTCACTAAATAGACTAATTGGTTTAAATTTTATTACGGGGAACTAGTGAGTCATATAACGTTGAACAAGTCACACATGTCCTGTCTGCCTCAAACCCATATAAGCATTCTTAGTTTCTCTTTAAAAAGTCACAATTTGGATCAGGAGCCACATTTCCACCCAGTTGATTGCCACTGAGTTTGCTCCTCTGGGTTCTTTGAGAATAAGCTGAGCGACTCCTTCGTTCAACTCATTTAAGGCGCTGAGACACAGTTTCTTTGAGATATATGTATACCCACTTCTTATATGTGTCTATGGGTGTGTGGTATACTGTATATACATAAATATTATAAACAAATTTTACATAGAGATGCTGTCTTTAATTTCTTCTTTGACCTCTAGGCAAATAAATCAACAACCTCAAGTGTCCACCAGGAGGCGCTGGGGTCAGCAAAAGACTGGCGGTACCTTCACCGCGGTAGAGGTGGGGATGGATGCTGCAGCGAACGAACCCGGCTTCCTTTTTTACAAATCAGTGTAAGCTAAAGGGGCAGAGTCGCGTTATTTTAGGGAGGCTTTGTCGCACTCCCCCTCCCGCATATAGGTAGCATCTGGAGTGCGCGCGCCCTGCTTGCGGACCCCATGGAGAGACACTGGCGGCGGCGACAGGGGCTCCTTTCGCGGCAGCAGCCGGCGGTAACCCGACCCAGCCAGCGCGGGGACTGAATAGGCGCCGGGGAGAGTGGCAAGCTGCGAACAAAAGCCCTGGGCGCGGGGCCGGAGCCGGGGACCAAGGGTAAGTAAATTCGCATGGGGAACAGCGGCTGCAGGCGTTAGCGTGCCCAGGCTCGCTGCCGCTCCACGAGCCCAACCTGCTGAAATGCGGTGGGGAGACTGGCTGGCACTTGGGGTGGGTGTTCAAAGACCCAGATGCCCAAGCCCAGGCCGGTGTGGACGGTACCTTTAAGCGCATTCTGACTTGGAGGTAATCGGGTGCATCTGGGAGAAACCCGGCGTCTTCTGCATCCCTTCTGCAAACACCCGGTGGGGGTTGGGGGTGGGAGTGGAGGAGGCGGGCAGAGCTCCTAGCAAACCCTGCCCGAGAGGCAGGAGCAAGAATCTATCACCCTTCCTAAAAGGGCCTTTGACGATTTCTCTCCGCCCTATCATCACTCCTGGGCCCCGTGCCCCAGGGTCCTTTGGCAGTGAGAAATCAACCATAAACTTTGTTCCTAGGCATATGGGATCCTGCAGCAATACAGTTTGAGATGAACACCCCCACTCCACCCGTTTTTGTTTTTTTTTTCTCCTGCAAAGCTGCAATCCGGCAGCCCGCCGCAGCAACAAAATAATCCTCCCAGGAATCCGCTAGCGCCTCCCTCTACGGTTGCTGGCGGCATGTACCTCGATTTTTTAACTTGCAGCAGGAAGGGGATCCATCTAGCAGGCCCTACCTTCTGGGGCTGAGATTGAAGCTGTTCTTTTTGAGCAACAGCATCCTCCCTCCCACCCACCGCCCTGCTTGGGTTTTCAGGGCAAAGGTTTTACATTCCACCAGGCCTAATCCGAAAGCGGATTAAATGGGGGGGGGGGTTGCACAAGCAGGCGGAACGGCTCTCAAATGCATTCCTCTATGTCTCCCCTCGTCATCCGCAGAGACTCCAACAAAGGACAAGGCTCAGCCATGGTAGATCCGGTGCCTGAAGAGGAGAAAGGAGCCGAGGTTGGTGGCTCAGGAAGAGATGGGACCGCGGCATCCGTGCCCCCCGACGACCAGGGCGCCCAGCAGCCCGCGGCCTCTGCGGCCTCAGCCTCCGCGGCGGCACCCCGCAAGGCAGAAGCCCCGTGCGCTGCAGAAGGCGGGCGTCGAGAGCAGTCCCCGCTGCTGCACCTCGACCTCTTCAACTTTGACTGTCCCGAGGCCGAGGGCAGCCGCTACGTGCTGACCAGTCCTCGTTCGCTGGAGGCCTGCGCCCGCTGCGCGGTCAAGCCCGTGGAGCTGCTGCCGCGCGCGCTGGCAGACCTGGTGCGTGAGGCTCCAGGCCGCTCCATGCGGGTGGCCACCGGCCTGTATGAGGCCTATGAGGCGGAGCGGCGCGCCAAGCTGCAGCAGTGCCGCGCCGAGCGCGAGCGCATCGTGCGCGAGGAGAAGCGGCGCCTTTTCACGCCGTTGGGCGCCGGGGCCGGAACGACCTCGGTCTCAACCTCAGCCTCAGCCTCAGCCTCAGCCTCGGCTTCAGCTCCGAGCGCCGGCAGCAGCAGTAGCTGCAGCAGCGCCAGCCTCCCCGCCTCGCCGGCGGCTCGCAAGGCCTCTCCCAGCTCCTCCTCGGCCCGGACGCAACCTCCGCCCGCGGGGTCTCGGACAGGCCGAAAGAGCCACTCGCTAGACTCGCTGTCGCGCCGGCGTGATGGCGCCCTCAGCTCTGAATCCGGTGCGTCGTCGTCGTCCTACAGCGGAGAGAGCCTTAGGGAGCTTCGCTGGCCGCCGCGGGTCTCGACCCGGTACAGCTGCCCGGCGGGGTCGGCGTCCTCGGCTCCTAACCCTCTTGGCCGACCTTCCGCCCTGGCCCTGGTTCCCCTCACAGGCCGCAGCTTTAGCCTCGGCGACCTGAGCCACTCGCCTCAGACCGCTCAGCACGTGGAACGCATCGTGCGCCAGGTGCGCGCCGAGCGAGGCCTGCGAGGGGTACCGGAGCGCGACCGGAAGATCGCGGCGCTGATGCTAGCGCGGCATCAGGAGGAGCGCCTGCTGCTGGAGCAGCGCGCCGCCGCCCACGGCCAGTGGGAGCAGCAGCGCGTGCGCGCAGAGCAGAGGCGGGAGCGTGAAGAGCGCGAGAAGCAGCGCGCCCTGGAGCAGGGCCGCCGGGCCTGGGCTGCGCAGGTGGAGGAGCGGCGCGGCCGCCGGGGTCGCGAGGAGCGCGAGGCGGCGCGGCGGAGGCAGCAGCAGTGCGAGCGCAGCGAGGAGCGGCGGCGGGAGCTGGCCGAGCGCCAGGGCCTGCTGCGACGGGAGCGAGCCGAGCGCGTCGCCCGGGAGGACCGGCTGCGGAAGCTGCAGCAGGAGCAGAACCTGAAGCAGCGGGAAGAAGGTCTTAAGGAAGGGCGCGAGCGGGCCGAGCAGCTGCGCAGGGAGCGCGCCCAGCGCGCAGCCCGCGCCAAGCAGCTACAGGAGGGCCAGCAGCAGCGCGAGAAGCGGGAGGTGAGCCGCGTGGAGCGGGCGCGCCACGAGGCGCTGCTGCGGGGCCGAGCCCGGCAGCAGCAGCAGGAGCGGGAGGGCCTTCGGAGCTCCCTGGAGGCCAGCTTGGGCCGCGCACAGGAGAACTACGAGCAGTTGGTGGAGCAGCGCGCCCGGGAGCTTCGGGAACGAGCCCGACGGGAGGAGCTGCAGAGTCGGCGGGCCAAACAGGCCGTGGAGCGCAAAGAGCGGGAGCATCAGGCGCACTTAGAGGCGCTGGCGCGGGCCGGGGAAAGACGCCTGCAGCACGCGACGCAAGTGGCCGAAGAGGCAGTGCAGCAGAAGGCCCGGCGCGTGGGCCAGACCCGGCTAGAGAAGGAGCGGGCCCAGCGTGCCAACAAGGAAAAGGTGGAGAGGGACGAAGACTGCCGACGGCGGGAACTGCTCCAGGCCATCGGGCGCAAGCTGGAGCGCAGCGAGCAACTGTCGCGGGAAAGGCGTAGCGCGCTGGAGAGCGCTCGCTCCACAGCCCGGGCATCCTTCCACGTCCGGGAGAAAGTACGAGAGGAGACCAACACACGCTCCTTTGACCGCATGGTGCGCGAGGCCCAGCTACATGCCAGCCTCGACCGAAAATGACTTTGCTCTGCTGCTCCAGACATGGCACACAGCCCAGAGAGGCCTCCTCCAGCCACTTGGACCAAACCGGGGGATTCTCCAGTCCAGGTGCAGCACCTTGGACTCTCTAGGCTTCTGACCAATGAGTCACTGAGAGGACAGACATGTAGGACTTTTCAGTAGGCGCCCTTTATTTTTAAAAACTTACTTTGTTTGGAGATGACCTGGCACAATCTTTGCCCACATCCATCCTTGCCAAACCTCCCTATATGTCTTTTGGGTTAGAATGCAGAGTAACTGGGGGAAAAGGGATTCCCCTTCGAGAGAGCAGAAGAGACTGCCTTCACCCCTGGCACCCCAGATGTTCTTCTGATATTGGTGTTTGAGAGAACTTTTGGTTGCAGCAGCTGAGGGGTGTCCCTTTGGCTCATCTCAAAGGGACTATCTTTCAAAGTACCACAATTACACAGCTCTTCCAAAATGTCTGGTCATGCACAAATGACCCAAAAAACTATTGGTTTTTGTTCGTTTGAGTATTAATCAGTCATCTGAGCAAGTTTTCCTGTTAGTTCCCAAAGTTTTTCAGTTGAGTCCCTCAGTTTTCTAGTTAGACAATCACTCTATGGAAAATTATCAGTTTGTCTCTTATTTTTCCTCTCATTTTCCCAAGTGGCATAGGAAATGAGTTGATTTGGTGATGTTGCTTGGATTCATTGGAAGCCCTCAACCCTGGAGGTGTTGGTTTTCCAAGGCAGCAGCATCCCACCCCAAGAAGCTTCCTTACAGGGTGATTTCAAGGGAAGTGGCCACCTCCTAGGACAGGGCCCACTCCTGGCAGACAGCAGCTATGCCTTAAGAAGCAGAGCTACCTTACGTGCCTGCACAGGCCATTCTTGCCTAAGTCCCCAGCTCTGGATGCAGCCTCAAGGCTGGGCCCTGGAGTTTGGCGTGTATGATTCCCTCTGTGAAGGAATCTTCCCAAATCTCTGAGGACAATTAATGTATCCTTGGCTGCTTTACTGTAGTGTTGGAAGAGCTGGAATTGCCTCAGTGTTGAGAGTTGTGCTCGATTTTGCTAGTAGAATAACTTCCCACCCCAGGCAAAAGAGTCTCCTCCTTACATTCCTGATACCCTTTTACCTATGACTGAGAGTATTTCATCGGTCTCTTGGTGCCTCACTCTCCCCATCTGCCAGATGGGGCCATCAGAACTCCTCTTCTGGTACCTCAAAGTCTCCTGGATCCAAAGCACCACTTAAGTATTACATGTTGGTCTTCTTTGTGCCTTCCTTGACCTGGAGTTGGGAGGCAGGAGACTGCTGTTAGCTTAGTTTGTTTCTGAGAATGTGGGTTCCAGACACTGAATGGGGCAGTGTATTAAAATTAACGTCTGAGGGGAAGTTCTTGCAATGCCAGGCCACTCTCTGGTTCAAACAGTTCAGCTGTCACCAGGTAATGTTGTCCCTTAGATAAAATGTAAGAGAGTGTGCTTCCCTTTCATGACGCTGAAATTGGCCCCAGATACATCCACCCATTGACTCTACCTTCATCGTGGAAGGTGAGAAATAAAACATCACTTCTTATTGCATTAATTCAAGGTCAGGAAATTTTAGAATTACCAAAAAAAGGAAACAGGGTAAAAGAATTATGCAGAGTATTTCATGTATATTCTGCTGGGAGAATTATCCCTAAAATGACTAGTTACTACAGACACATTCACACATGCACACACGCTTCATCAGCCCCCCTCCCCACCTCCACCTGATCACATGCTAACCTGTTGGAGGAGGATGTTGTAGAAGGAAACAGTGTTTAAGTGTTAGAGTAAGATGATGTGAAACCAGGAAAGGAGCGGTGTACTAAGATTTCATTCTTGAATGGATGAATGAATGTCCCCTTAACTTTTTTTGTTGGTAACCAGGTTGTCAGTGAGTTGTAATAACTGGTATTGTCTGTGAGTCAGGAGTATTTAACTAAAAAGTTCATGTGATTCTGGTTCTTACATTGTGATTTGTGAGTTGCTAAGGGCTTTGAAACCTTCATAGAAAGCTCCACCCTCAAAAATCAGTTACTTTAAAGTATATGCATTTATTTCAGGAGACAATCTGGTTCTGGTTTTGTTTTTAATATATAAGGCACTATACGGTACATAGGTGGTCTTACCTGGCCCTTTCCTAATTTGTTTCCTTACTTGCTGAGATCACTTTTCTGTGCCTTGGTTCCCCTGCCTGTGGGATGGGGACTGTGATTCCTGTTCTCCTTTTTACACAAACACTGTGAGGATGAATCAGAATCTAAGCGATAGTCCCAGTTACTGTACCACTTTTTTAACTGAAGGTGCAGTCCCTCTAATCAGGAGGATCATGTGACTATACTGTGACTAGAGAGTGTGATGTGTTGTCATGACCTGGTGCAGGAGTAGTCTTGAAAAGCACATTGCAAATTATAGCGTGCAAAAGTGTTGGCCTGAATGTCACCAAACTACATGGTACGCGCTAAGAATCATACCATGTGGAAAGGCAAAAACTTCTATATTAAAAATCCATATAGCTGAGCATAACGTAAAACAAAAAACAGAAGCCAAACCTAATAATAATAAGAATGGCCCTCCCAAATTCCAGGTCATCTAGTAGAACAGAGACTGACATCTACAACTCCAGGAAGTTGCTCTCTGAAGAGGGACTGTTTTCAGAATGTTCATTGGTTCCTTGATTTATATTCCCTTTGAAACACTGCCTGAGAGGAGAGGTGGTTTTTAATAAAAGCAGCATGAGAGCATTGGATGGGGCGGGCGGTAGGTGGAAAATGGCTCCTGATATGCCTTCTGCGAGGCAGAGCTGTCCTTCCACAGATTCTGGGGGCCCAGAACTGGCCCTAGAGCACCTTGTAGAAGTTCTTTACCACCCAGGGATTGCAGTCTTGAAGCAGGCACAGCCCTTCACATGTATGCTTTGGAACACGAAGTAGTTAGGAGGAATGGGAAGGATTAGAAGAAACAAGCTGGACAAAACTATTTCTAGTGAACTCATTGGATGAAACCAGTCTGATGTCCTGCTCAGTGACCAATAGCTAAACCAATCACATCTGGACAGACAATGGAGAATTCTTTTTGGATGCACACAGTCTGAGCACTCAAGGAGGGCCACCACTAAGATTTACCAAAGGCAGTTCATCTGTAGGGCAGTAAATGCAGGTGAATGTGTTGGTTCAGTTTATAATTCTATAACAAAATACCTGAGCAGAGATGGGTAATATATAGATAATAGAGATTTCTTTAACTCACAGGTTTGAAGGTTAAAAAGCACAATTCCAGCTTCCAGTGAGAACCTCATGGTGGGTGGCATCAGATGGCAGGAGTGTGTGTGTGTGTGTGTGTGTGTGTGTGTGTGTGTGTGTGTGTGAGAGAGAGAGAGCTCTGGCAAGATAGGAAACAAGAAACAAGGAGAGGAAAGCATGCTTTGTTAAGAAATATAGCCACCAACTCTTTTTTTTTTTTTTTTTTTTTGGTACTGAGAATTGAACTCACAACTTCTCATTTGCCAAGCAGGCACTTAGACCGCTGAGCTAAACCTCTGGCCCCTAGTCACCCACTCTTGAAGGAGCTAATCCCATTCTTCGAGACCTTAGTTCACTCATGAAAGTGGAGCCCTTATAATCTAATTATGTTTCATTTGGCCCCACTTATGGGTTACTAAACTGCCCGGCTGGCCTCAAACTTATGATCCGCCTGCCTCAGCCTCCAAGCCTCCCTGGGATTATAGGCGAGCAGCACCACACCCAACCAGGCCTCACCTCTGACAGGTTCCACCACCTCAGCATCATTACAAAGCTTCCAGCACAGGAACAGCTGGGAACAAACTAATACAGAGCATAGCAATGAGAATGTAATTTGTGTTGAAGCCACTCTGCCACTCATTTCTTCTTTAAACAGTCCACAGAAATGCAGAAGTGACTCTGCATAAGGGGTGATATTTTTGTTTACCATGGAAGCCTCTGTAGTCCATGGTTTATCATCTCAAACATTGTAAACACATAACTACTGCATGGAGAGAAGGCCAGAGAGATGAATGGATGGATGATGGACAAGGGATGGTGCAAACTGCCTAGAATACATCAGTCAGGCAGCCTCCATTTAACAATTCCCACTGGGCACTTGCTATGGGCCAAGCACTGCTCTCGATGCTGGTGAAATAGAATCTCTCTGGTTACCAACCCAGGAATCACTTGTGCTGCAATGCCATGAGCAGATGTCTCTGTTTTCCTGCTGGGCTTACCTACTTCTCACCTGGGTATCCATCCTTAGGCAGACCTGATGGCACCTCAAGGCACTCACCTTTTTAGTCTCGTGGGGACAAGCCATCTGCCAGTCCACAGCCATCTAGTCACTGTTGCTCATTTTCCTTCAGAGGAACCTTAGTTAATCAGGTCAAATTTATAATGTTGCATGGTTAATCAACTTGAAATTACAGTAAAAGGGAGGAGGTGGAATATTAATCACTTTTCAAGGGCATTATCTGTCATGCTTTTTAGAAAGTCAAACAAATAATGATCATGGACCTATAAAACTGAGCTTCAGGCTCTGCAGGGTGCCAGTTCACCAAACAGGGTACTGGCTTCTTCATTTAGCTATTCTTGTTGAGACAAGAAAGCTGGTGATTCAAACCAGGGGTGGTGACATACATGTTATCCTAGCTACTTGGGAGCCTGAGGCAGGAGGTCAGCCTGAGCAATTTAACAAGACCCTGTTTCAAAATATTTTTAAAAAGGGGCGGGGGCATGGAGTTGTAACACAGTGATAGAGCATCTCTGGGTTCAATCCCCAGCACAGGTGGGGTTAGCAGCAGGTGTTAGAATGTGGGATGAAGGATGGTTTGCTTCTTAGAAGCACTGATAACATCAGTGCTTGTGGGTGTTATTTCCCCACTCATCACATACAATCATTCTGCATGAGCACAAAAACCTAGTCCAATTTTTTTTAATTAACTGAAGTGCTCACATGTCTTCTCCACTAGCACAGTACTGGTAGTATCTTTTTGTGTCAGACACTTGCATAGTTCATAGGACTGTCAGAAAGATGATCCATATCTACTGTGTCTGAGAATGTGTGTCCCTGCATGTACCCCTCCCAGCATCAGTGCTGGTGAGAGGGAGGGAACATGTAGTCATCCTTGCAGGAAACAGCAAGCTCTGGGAAAACTGAGCTGCCTGCTGGTGGAATCCATTGCTTCCACTTATAGCAGTCTGTCAGCTTCCATCTGAATGCTGCTTTGGGCTCTGGCCTAATAAACATGGAGTCTGCATTTCTCAAGTCCATTGCTGAGCCTCATGGGTGACCGAGGATTTCAATGTTGCCACTCTACTGTCTTAGTGCAAGAAATTGATTGGGAAATGGAATTTAGATGCCCTAATGTTAACATTCAGGAGCTTCTCAGCGTAACAGAACGACTGACATCTCCAAGTTCTGAAAATCCAGACCATGTGGCAGCCACATGTTCAAGGCGGAGTTTGCCCAAGGAGCAAGTGTCCTGACTTAATCAAACTACTCTACACTCTTCCATTGCCCCCTTGTCATCTTTACAACGGAGACCACAGATGCTGTTTGTGGAGAGTTTGGTTGAATCAGTTAATGCTTAGAAAGCACTCAGTGCGGTCCCTGCAGGTAGCACCTATTACTGTTACCCGAACCTGGTATGTGGGGCTGGGGGTTAGTAAAGAAAAGAGTGGTGCGGACTGAGCTTGAGCCAGGTGGTACTGGTGGGCACTAGGCTTGGGTGACAGCCCTCGCTAGGTCCTTCACTGTGTGATAGTACCCCAAACATTTCAAAAGAAGGGGCTCTGCAAGAAGGTTTCCCTGTATAAAGTAGTTTGTGTTTGGGTGGTGGAGGGCTTACTTTGCTTACCAAATTACCTTGTTTGGCAATAAAGTTGACATCTGATGATAATTTTAGTAATTTTGTTCTACAATTTCCTACATGATGATGAGAAAGACAATGATTTAGAATTTCTCTTATCTTTCTAAGGCAAAGGAGCATGTGCAGAAGTCCTGGTCATGCCTAATCCTACGATTCTTGGTTTTAGTAAAACCAAGTAGGATGTGTGAGAGCCCCTGTTCTGTGCTGCAGGATGTGGTGGCACTGGGTATGGTAGCAGAGGTTTTGGGACACACAGCCATGTATGCAATGGTCACATGGAGTGAAGAAGTGGGTCTGGGGCCAGCCCAGCTTGGACAGACACTGATGAGGAGTAAATGTTGGAGCAAGAAGGAAGGTAGATGGACCTTGACATCTTACTTCACCCTCAACAAATGACTTTCTCTGAGAACCCTCGGCGAATGTCCCCAGTCTCTTTCCTGGTGCCATCGTGCCTGACATCTGCATGGAAGTTAGCCTCAGTGCGGGTCGTGGAGATGCCCCGTCCCCCTGCTGGATGTACAGTGACACAGAGATGGTAATCGTCTCTCTGTTGGCCGCCTTGTGTTGGCTCTTCTGTGCCTGGAAAGTGGGGACAAGGAATATGGCAAGCTCTGCATTTCCACTTTGTCCTCTTTGATGTGTGCTTGAATATCTTAGAAAAAAATCCTCAGCAGAACCCAAAGCCCACCTGAGCCCTTAGCAAAATAGTAGCACAGACAGAATGTGTCCCGTAGGAACATCAGCGTGTTTGAAAAGTCTCAGGATGAGCAAAATGCACATTAGAAAGGAACCACTCACTGAGGCTGGCATTGCAAGGGTGATGGTAGCTGATGTATACCAAGCCTTACACTGCGCAGGTGACTGTTTTTAAGCACTTACTTAATTCTCTCACTATCACCATAATAAAATTGAAGCAGTGAGTTTAAGGTCACAGAGCAAGTGGTGGGCAGAGCTGACTTGGACCCAGTTAGTCTGGCTGGACAGCACGTGCTTTTACCTTATATGTTTTGTTGTCTCTTGGAAATTAGTAGCAGCAGTGTTTTATAAAAGGACCCCCACACACACACCCACATTGGAGATGTAGCTCAGTGGCATAAGTACCTGCCTGGCAAGCACAAGGTCCTGTGTTTGATCCCTGGTAAAAAAAATAAAATAAAATAAAATATAAAATAAATAATAAAAGGACCCCCTAGAGTGTTCCAGTGCTGGCCACTTGAATCACTGCCTGCTATGTCAGTGAGTACAGACTACAGGGGGAAAGCTCCCCTCATTTGGAGCCAGTAAGTTTTGGAGCACTGAGGGTAGACTGAAGTTCCCTGTCCAGAGACAAGATAAAGTGACCTGAAAGCTGACCATGTCTGAGGCAGAAGTGCTCACCAGCAGATCCCATGTCCAATTTTCTGGGGGCGTACTGCTCGGTCTGGGTTTAGGAAGCTCTCCAGCTGATTCCTACATGCCCTTAGATTTGAGAATCACTGCTCTAGATCTGTGCTGTCTAACTCAGTAGTTGTGAGGCCCATGTGCCTGTTTAAATTGAAGTTAGTTCAATTTAAATAACACTAAAAATTCAGCTCCACACATGGCAAGTACTCAGTCACCACATGTGGCTGGGAGTGGTACCACATCAGAACAAATCTAGAGCACTCCTGTTGTCACAAAAAGTCCTATTGGCTGGTACCACTCTAGAATCTTCTACTCCAGAGTGTGGGCTACAGACCAGCAACACAAGTACCACACAGGAGTTTGTTGGAAAAGAAGAGTTCAGATTCCACCGAGACCTTCTGAATTCAACTGTGTTTTGCAGGATCCCAGGAGATTTATGTCAAGCACTCAGGTTTGAGAAGCACAGCTGTGGAGGGCAAGCTGTGTCAGCCCTGACTGAGTGTTCATAGTCTACAGGTACCAGATCTATGTCAATAAAGATAGACCTGGCCTTTTCAAAGGTGGCCAAAACTTCTAGTGAAAAGAATATATAAGTAACAGAGAATGTTTTTTGTGCTTATGATCAAACCAGTTAACAAAACTTTGGAATTTATTGGAAAACACTTTTTTTTTTTTTTTTTTTTTTTTTTTTTTGTCTTTTTCAGTACCAGGGATCGAACTCACGACTGCCTGCTTGCAAGGCGGGCGCTTATGCCGCTGAGCTAAATCCCCAGCCCCGGAAAACACTTTTGAGATGCCCCTGCTCTGTGTCAACATAATGAATCCAGCCTCTGTCTCAAGTAGCAGAAAAAGTATGCAAATCTTCCCAAAGGAAAGGCAGTGTGTGGTACAACTTTGAGAGCATAGTTAGAAGAGGTACATCATTTGGAAGGAGACACCTCTACATGTATACAGAGTACTAGAATTTAGAATAATTTAGAAAGTAATATAGGATATTCAGAGAGCAACAGAAAATGTATTACTTTATTTTCTTCAGCATTCTATCATCTAATCATGATGAAAGGTGCCAGGTGGCCCTGAAACTGGCAGTTTTGACCTACAAAGCAGCAGTCAGTGGGTGGCAGTTGCTTTAAATGGGTTGTCTGAAGACCTTGCTAGAACTGTGAGTGGTGGGGGTGGGGGCTTGCCCAGATGGCTGAGACAGCTCCCAAGAGGAGCTGGCACAGACAGGTCAAGGGCAACCTGCTGGTGTGCTTGGGCCAAGGACAACTTTGCTGCCTGCAGGAAGCACTAATTTGGATCAGTGTGTCCATGTGGCTGAGAGCCCTCTCAGTCTCCTCTTACAGACTGGGCTACATGGCAGTTCATTTCCATAGAACCTGCAAACTTTTCTGCAGAGGCTGTAGCCTTCTGTCTGACACAAACTCCCAGGAGTCCTGCAGAATGAAGGTGATTGACACGCAGCTGCCTGCCCGGAATACCAAGTAGCACCCAGCAGGAGAGGCTCCCGGTGCCTGCGCTACAGCCGGCTTCCTTGGCACCAGCTCTGCCCTCCAAGAGCCTTTTCTCTCCCTCCACTGTGGCTTTTCTACAAACTCACTTGTTTCCAGGTGGCATAAAGACGCCCACTATCCAGCAATACATTTCTAAAACCTTCTCCATGACAACGCTGAGTGGTGAGCAGACTGCCAGCTCAGTCAGCCAGAGAGAGGCCCTGGGGGCAGACAGTGTGGAGAGGCGCGGGACAGCTGGGGACGCCTAATTCTGCTTCAGCAGGAAGGCGGTCTGAGGCTAACACATCCCAAGTCCAAAGAAGCTGTTTGGGGACTGGGCAGGCTAGGGAAGCAGTGAGCAGATGCCCAACAGTGATAATTCACATTTATCTTAGCACGGAAGCAAATTGTGCAGGGCAGGTGAGACTTCCTTTCTTCTTAAAGGATTTTCTGCAATTGAAAAGAGGAGATAAATAATAAGAAACCAGCAAACAAGAGACAAGTTTTTGTTTTGTTTTGTTTTGTTTTGTTTTGTTTTTTTGGTCTTTTTCCTTTTTATCAGTACCAGGGATTGAACTCACGACTGCCTGCTTACCAGGCAGGCGCTTATGTCGCTGAGCTAAACCCCCAGCCTGAGACAAGTTTTTAAATGGGCTGCCAGTGCCTTGTGATTGGCCAGATTCTTTATCAATCTAAGTGAAACACTATCTAGATGGTAAGTCTCAGATGTTGTCCCTCCCCAAACCCTACCACCAGCAGCTGATCTCACATGGACAGGGCCCTTATAAGACCCAGAACCCCCATTTTCCCTCTCTCTAATATTTATTTATTTATTTATTTTTCTATCATGTTAGGTCACATTGAATGTCTCTTAATATTTAATGAGAACATCAATCCATGGAGCAGTGGCAGGCACAGCAGAGGTGGCTGTTTAAGACTCAGCAGCTACAGAGAAGTGTCTGGAGATAGGTCGTTGTCAAGATGGGAGGTCAGCAAGAAAAATTATAAACCGATAAGAAAGCCAAGGAAGCAAGGAGGGTCATGTCTGTGAGCTGGAGAAAGAAGTGAAAACAGGATTTTAAAAAGGAGGCACCAGCTGTCCTTCCCAACTCTAGTTTTTTGGTTTTATTTTTCTTTCCTCCGCTTCTGGCACCAGAGATTGGATCCAGAGCCTTCAACTAAGCTGCATCTCAGCTTTTTTTTTTTTTTCTTTTTGAGACAGGATCTCTCCATAAGCCACTAAGTTGCCCAGACTGACTTGAACTTGCGATGCTCCCATCTCGCTGCCCAGAGTGCTGGGACTGCAGGTGTGGGTCACTTGCCCAGCTCAATCTAGCTTCTTTATGGCTGAGCCAGAGAGAAAATGTGTCTTCTGGGTTTTGGGATGTACCTTGAGTGGGGAGCCAGATGCTCTGCCCGGCTGCTTCCCCTGCCTCACTCTCAGTGTCCCTCCAGCCTTCGCCCTACCTATTTAAACAGAACTCTGTTCAGTGTTCAGTGGTTCCGTGGTTTGGTTCCAGAACAGGGGCTGCTAAAGGCTCTCAGCCCTGACCTGAGGTCAGAAGGTTTATATCTGCATCACAGATACTGAAGTTGTGTCATTCGCCACCAGTTAGGGCATTAAACCCAAACACAGGGAGCCCTCTCCCCATTCTCCTGGAGTCTTTTTTCTTTTTTAATTTTTTTCCTTCCTTTTTTGAGACAGGATCATGCTGTGTAGTTCAGGCTGGCCTTGAACTCACTGTGTAGCTCAGGGTAGCCTCAAACTCACGACAATCCTTCTGCCTCAGCCTCCCAAGTGCTGGAATCATAGGCATGTGCCACCACACCTTGCTTCTCCTGGGTTTTTCAAATAGGACTAGGGCTCACGTCCTCTCTAGTCGCTTCAGCTTCCCAGATGGGGTCACCACTGAGCTCCTGCTCTGATGCCCACACTAGCTTTCCACTGAAGGCAGGTAAGCGGATGTTTGCTCGTGGTTGCTTACTCTCCACACGGAGTAGAAAGCCATTGGCATGACAGCTTTGCCTCTGCAGTAGTTCCTGGCTGCAGCTAGTGCCTATCATAGCTCATTATATCTCCTAAGTTGCAGGATTGACTACGTAACTTGCAGTGCCCAAGCCAAAATTAAAATGTGTGGGTGGACTCTTGTTCAA